AGCTATGGCGGACTTCCTCTTCGATGATGGCGACTTCAGCTATGGCGCACTTCGGCTATGGCGCCCAACTTCCGCATACCGCAGACAACAACGGCGCGTGAGATAGCGGGTACCAGCTCCGATACCAATGCAATCAGACTCGCTTTCCTTTACACTTCGCACTCATGCAAACAGATGGTGAGTCACACTGGCGCACAACGCCCACTCAAAGCTCAGAGATATGGAAGTCGAAAACACAGTTCAGATACAAGCTCGCTTCAACAGGCTATGGCGCATCAGCGCCTGTACACCCCAACTCTCGTCTCTCTGTTCAGCACACGGTTCACACTCACTCAACTCTGGATCACCCTGGATATCCCACACACATACACACACTCTCTTGCACACATACTCGCCTATCAGCTATGGCAGCTATGGCTGCTGACCCTCAATGGCTATGGCTAGCTATCTCTTTCAGCCCACTTCGTCTTCGGGCACTCTGCAGACCTCCTCGCACAAGTCGCTCAAGCAGCGCTTCCGCATGGTTCACGCAGGAATGAATGAATGGCTGGACGCTGCCTCTTAATTTATACTTCTGTTCGCTGCTGGTCTGCCTCTTTCCACCGGGCCCATGGTGCACACAGTTCCTCATGGTACTTGCTGACCGGACTCAGCGAGACTGGGACTGGGTACCGTTGACTCAGCAAGGGTGGACTTCACCACTTGCCCACTTGCCTCTAGTCTACTGTGAGCAACGTTGCAAGGGCCACTTCCGGACCTTTTGTGGACTTGGCCCTTCCACACTGTAGCAGCTACGAACTTGACCTTTCAGAGGAGCTACAGCTGCGGCTTCTAGAACTCACTAAGACCTCTATGTGACTCCCATCCATCCAAAAGGGAGACTGGGTAGTGCATATGGACTCCCTGCTCCTCCCCATGACTATGTACAGGGTCCATCAGCTGACACATGGCTCGCTGCACCTCGAAGCCTTTTGCCCGGATCTGCCTGGGGCGAGGTGGTCCGCTGTGCGTCGGCAGCCAGACCTGGATAGACAATCTCATGATACGGCTGCCTTCCTCAGAGTTCGGGTGGTAGAGGATAAAGACGAAATTTGCTATGCGTACGAACCCGCCACTCCGTTGTCCCATCTCCCCTTTGACCCGACGGAGTGGGAATGGAGAGTGGGGACGGAAACTACAATCACCCCATGGCAATACTCAGTTAAAAATGGGTATAAAGCAATGCGCACTTCAGCACCAGTCATGGAAGATGTCCTACGAAGATGGGAGAGGGATTCCTCACTGACAAAAGAGGACTTTCTTTCAGATGGGAACTCTTCTCCCATCTGAAACCGACTAATCACAGAGCTCTCCAGTGGCAGATCATTCACAGATGTTTGCCCACCCCGGATTGGTTGACAAATAGGACAGACCTGGAGCAGAGAGGACTTCTGTCCCCGCTCTGCTCTTACTGCATTGACACTCCCCCCAGAAAAAGGGCCACACTGGAGCACTGCCTCCTTGACTGTCCAATGGTGGCTCGGCTCTGGAGATGGTGGGATGCA